AAAAAAGAAATTGAAATGAATTGAGTAAAATGAACGAAAAATTAGACTGGATTAAATATAAGATATTGACATGTGACACCCATACTGAATTGACACGTGATACTATTATTGTCAGGTGACACTAAACTACCACATGAATTTTAGAATTTCAAGTGTGAATTTAAGTCCTACCTTGGGTGGAAATGAGAAAGTAGAACACCATATAATTTTGAAGATTCATTAATCAATTGCTTTAAAGTTTTAGGTAGAGAGTGGTCTCAATTTCTTATGTGGTTAGACTCAAGTTTCATTAATGTTGTATCTCCTCCTCTATAAATCTAACAGTGACATAGGACAAATAATTATAAAATTAATAAAAAAAAATTAAAACGTCATATATGGCATACATGGTTAAGGATCCAAATGTTACTAAAATAGATTAAATTGAAAAAAAACTACATTAAATAAACTCAATTAGTATAACGAACAAAGTAATATTTAGGCCTTAAAAATAATTTATAACTTTTAATTGTAACTTTTTGAAGAAAAAAGTGAAAGAAGGATATCAATAAAGGGTGAGGTAGATGAAAGCGAAGAAAATTAATAAAACAAAAATATTAAATTTGACAAGTTAAAAAACATAAAAAGTAAAGAAAAAAAATATGAATGATATGCGATTTAGATTAAAATTATGAACGAATAAATTAAAGAAAGAAGTTAAAGATGAAATTTACGACAAAGTAAATGAAAGCAATAATTATAATAGAATATATTTTTAAGTATGTGACCGTTTGGACTGGACGGAAGAAAAAAAAAGTTATAATAGATTTAATTGATGTGATTAAGAATAAATAAATAATAGTATCTTTAATTTTATTTTAATAAAGAATGAAATTTAATTAAATTGAAATATGATTAATTATGAAATAATTAATTTATAAATTTGGAAATAATATAAAAAATTTATGCAAAATTTGAAGTTAAATATATTTAAATAATTAATTAGAAATCATGTAAAAAGAACTGACCTACAACTTTTTTAAGAGAAATTAAAGTGTAATAAAAAATTTCTAAATAAAAAAATTACAATTGGAGATTAAAATGAAAAACATAATTTAATGATTTTCATAAAGTAAAAAAAAAAAAGTATTTCATCAATAAATTGGATAACATCTTAATGTTATCATATTTGTACATAAATATGTTATATAAGTAAGATAGAAAAATGAGGGTATAACTGTTAATAGATTGTGTTGGATTGATTATCTGTGATCATAACGATAGTTTATAGTTGGGAATGTTTTGATTTGACGTAAGTAGGGAATGAATGGGCAAGGCAGAATTATTGGTACCTTCATCCTCCTTCAATCCACAACTTTCTCTTTACAACACAACCGTCACCCACAGAAATCTCCACACATCATAACCAAGCGATTTCTTTCATTATAATATATTTCAACCTTGATGTAATCACTTATTCACCATCATCGTCAAAGATTAATAAAATCAAATAAGAGAGATTAATTAATTAATTAATTACACGTTGGGTACCCCATGAGGATTAGACACACCATGATTAATAGCAACAAATAGGTGGGTGCTGCTCACCCTATTGGAGGTTACTGTTATGCCATTTTGCTTTGTGCTGTTCAGGCGTATGCAAATATAGTTTCTCTAGTCACATTTTGCTATTGTGGGAAGAACTCGGTGCCACCATCATAAATATACATTGACCAATCATATATTCACCAACATTGGTGAATGATCTTAATCATCACGCTCAATTACATCTAGGACTATGAATAAATATGGATAATGGAATCACGAGTGAATGAAAAATAAACAGTTACATGACGACATCATTATAGATAAGGAAAGCTGAAAAAGGTTGCTTCTGCATATGATAATCATATCAAGATAGCTGTCTTACTAAATTTTACCCTCCATGACCTTCACGCTCTATACATAGCAATAAGGTATGGTTGGATTTTCGTTTTCTTTCGTTTTTATGTGCAATTTTGTTTTCTTTTGATTCATACCATATATATGTGCATATGCATAAACCTTTCTGTAACAAAGCAAAGATTTGTTAACAGACAATTTCGTCGTATCAGTGTCATCAATGAAGCCTTAACAACAACAAAAACATCAACGAGCGTTATGTGATTTGATGCCCATACAAGCTAAGACCAGCTAGCCGCATAGGACCATATTAATCACCTTAACTTGCCTTTGTTGTTATCACTAAATATAGATACTAGTTACTTCTCTTGTAAAGTTTTGCTTCTTTCATACCAATTCTTAGAATGGCAAACTAAAAAACTGACTCTCTATCTCTCAAGTAAAGTTCAACGACTGAAATCATTATATATATATATATATTCTTTATACATAAGGCAAACAGAGGCAGCCAAAATTAATCCAATGATGCAGTGTGGCACGTATATTTGAAGGTAAAAGTGGAGCCCATGAAATAATTTGATCATATCCTGTAAATACGGAGAAAAGGGCAATATGTAACGTCATGGTTTTGAATTGAAGGTGAATTTCCTTGATTTCGTAAGTTGTAAAGGGGGAAAATGTGAGTGAATTTCTTGGAGTCGGGTATAATTGTTAATTTCAAGATTGGGTTTCTTTTTTATTTTTTTTTAAAGAGGCACCATCACTTTGAATTAGCATTTTACTTTCCCTAAATCCTATTTTTAGAGCAAAACAGTTACCAGAATATGGCAACAGCATTCATTTGTCGACTATATAAAGCATTTTGTTTTATGCGTGCTTGTTCGTTTTCTTATTGTGGAACCTATTTTAGTACTACACGGAATCCAGTTTTCGCTATCTTTTTTGCTTGATATTCGTATTGGTTTAAATTTCGATTTCGTAGAGTTATTGAAGTTATTGCGCCAGTGTAAACAACGGGAGAAGTTTAAAGTGGGTTTAATTTTGTTACGCTTTCAATAGTTAGGCGTATAAGTTTTAGAAATAATTAACGGGAGCATGATTTAGACCTTGAAGATTATTGGTGAAGGAGTATCAAGGTCTACCCTATAAAAGGTATGGTGTGCTACACTATGCAATTGGAGGACGCATTTTCCATGTAAAAAAAGTTTTAGGAGTTCAAGTCAAACAACAATGGAAGCGTTGTCATCATCTTTTTATCTATTTTCTTTTCGAGGGACTTGCAACAGATATTGCTATCTAATAATATAATTAACCCAAATAAAACGTTAAAAAACATTATCTTTATGCATGGTGTTACTTTAACGAAAGCAAGGCCAGAAATTTTCCCACGTACAGTTGGCAAGTATTATAATTGCTTAAAGGAAAGAATAGGAAACAGTGAACTCAATCTCACCTATTCGGCATTATTGTACAAAGATTCCTCTATTTTTCTTTTTGTTTTGGTCGAAAAACTACAAGAATTAAAGGATTATGTCTCTATTTTATATTTCTCTCCACACTTTACCATTAACTTTTTTAAGGGAATATATAAGAGGCCTTTGTGGTTTCCCTTTATCAATATCCCTTATAAATACACAAACACCATTAATATTACCGCAGAGTAATTTCTTTTATTGAAAAATGATTGTTTGAGGTAAAAGGAGTAAATATTTAGTAAGATTGTTTGGACGAGAGTGAATTAATAACTCTTCGTTATTTGGTGTGTGACCATTCTTACAAACCAGATATTCCTGTACAATTGTCTCTTTAATAGTGCCATTAAATTCATTTCTTCTGTCGGTGTATAAAGTCCCCATATACATGATTAAATGTTTCGTGCCCCAATCAAATTATATTTAACCACCAGTTTAGTCCATACATAATCAAATGCACGCCTCTCTGTATAATCTAATATATAGCAGAAATTATTTATAGTTTCATTTTAAATAAACTAAAATTATATTATGGGATGAAAATGCGAAGGGGTAAAAGAAAATCATTGCAAAAGGCATTATTATCTGCACTGCTATCTATAGATAGGAAAAGGCTAAAATGTATACATATCTAATTTTTAGGTAAAAAAAAGGAAGCGAACAAAATTAATGATTGAGTGATACACATTTATATTTATATTTAATATATATTATAAATAATAAATAAAAAAGTTAGAAAAAATAGTGAGATAAATATGAAAAATTTATATCTATCATTGTATAATTTCTCAAAACAATAAAGGAAAACAGTACCGTACAACTAAATGTGAAAAAATAATAAGAGAAAAAGAAAAGAGTGGTGTACTATAATATCACTTGATATACCTTGCAAGTACCAATACCAACTATTGTGTTTAGTGTTTATCGTGATTTTTGTAGACACAGCATCGACATGCATTAAACCCACACTACCGTCACCCTTACCCCACTGCTTCAATTCAATGCCGGGAAAGAATATCAATCAATAAAAGGACCCCAATAAAAAGGTTATTCCACACCTCACGACAACAAAAAAAGTCTATATAATTAATAAGAAATTAGTATAAAAATTTATAAAACTGAAGTTGTGAATTCTAGAACGTAATAAAACCGATCCTAGTTATGAAAAATGTTTTGAAACAACAAAACCATCATTCTATAGACCATAGAATAATAGTGCAAGAGTTCAAAACAGCTGCGGATTGAGCATTTCCAGGGACCGTTTTAATCCTTAACTTCTGAATGATGCATGTCGCGAAAAGAATAACCCAAAATGAAGACTAATAAATGAAAGAAACTAAAGTTAAAGTTAGTTCCTCGAGGAACAGTGCCGCCACTGCATTTCACAACTTCTTCTCGCCGCATCAGACACGTCACACTTTCCTTCTTCACAATACAGGAAGAAGACATTTTCCACCTCTTCACGTCTTACAATCAATCAAATAACAAAAACAAAACATCTGTTAAACTCTCTCAAATTCTCTCTGCCCCGTCCTTTTTTTTTTTGGTTTTGTCCCCTTCTGTTTTGTTCCAGAGGCTAACAAGCGATCACAATTCACAGATATAATAATCTCAGTGGGAGAAAACGAAATCCAAAAACAGAATTTGTGAAACAGCAAGAGAATCCATTCTAGTTCCACCTCAAAGAATTTACATTCCCGAAATAATGTACAGAGGAGAAAAAGAAAAGGAGAAGAGAACCGGAATCCCTATGTCGCCATTCACTGCCAATTGTTGAACATGCAACCTAACTACCCAGAGAGGCACCCAAAATTCAGAGGTGTCAAGAGCTTTGCTTTTAGCACGAAAGCAATCCCGGCTACTAAACAAAAACGCCCCAAGTTGTCCACACGTTTGACTCGATCAAGGGTTCTGATCCGACGAGGTTTCGGTGGTCCCGCTCTCTGTACTTCCCTCTTTGACGGACTGTGACACTTCCAGCGATTTTCGGGTCTCTTCGCAGGTGCAGGTGCTTGTGTTGTCGCCGAAGGAAGAGGACCTGCTAGTGCCGCAGCTTGAAGAAGAAGAGACGCTCGGAGTGGCCAAGAATGTCGGTTTCTCTTGGCCGGCCATGATCACCAGGATCTTCTCCTCGTACGGTCTCTGAGGTTTCTGGTCTTGCTCCGCTTTTCCCTCGCCAGCTTCCAGGTCCCGTTCTGTTTCCCCGTTCCCTTCAAGGTACCCGGAGAGCTTCCAGTAGGAGCATGCAAGGATCAACAGAGCGAAGGCTATGAGACCCAGCATCGCCGCTAGCCCCCCAAATAGGTAGGGAACAGGAGAATGCCACGGCGAGTGCGGTTGCTGCGGAGAAACCGGGGCTCTGTCACCAACGTTCATGGGTTCTCTGTATGCAGCCATGTTTGCAGAAAACAGAGTAGAGTGAGAAGAAGAAGAAGAATTGCGGGAAGGAAAAGAGAAGAAAGATTGGGTTGAGAGGTGGATGGTGGGATGGAAAGTATTTATAGAGAGGCGAGAAAGGGTTTTGATTGCAGATAGAGAGAGAGAGATAGAGGTGATTAGTGTCGTCATTTTTTGGTGAGTAGGAAGGAGCGGTGGGGCCCACGGGGGGTGTGGGGTCACGTGTTCTGAGTTTCCCTCTTTTATTTATTTTATATTATTTTAGGGTTGTAGAGGATAGAATTATGATTTATTTATGATCGCAAGGAATGCGCACTCTGGATGAACTGGTCATGTCAATTTCAATTTGTGCAGAGGAGAGGAATATGATCCCCTTCCATGTTTCGCAACAAACAAACACGCAAATAAAGGAAAATAATAATGAAAGCAATTTCAATTCCCCTCTGCATATTCATATTATTCTATCGTTACAAATAAAGTAGCTGAAAAAGCTGCAAGATCAACAGTGTTTTTAATTCTTTTAAGTGCGTCTATCGGTTGCCGATAAGATCGAGGGATACACCCACAATTTTCCCCTTCTCTTCCACAACTCTAAATAACCTACATATGCTTGCATCATTCACGATATTGCTTATTGGAATATGCTCAACTTTATTTATAATCTTTACATATCAAAATAAAGCAAAATGCCTCCTATTAGGCGCTCCATCTTACTTTAGTTTAAGTCGAATATCGGATTTGTCATTCGAACCGGACATGCAGATTCCGATTCCCTAACCTTCTCATTAGTTCTTTCACAATTAAGAATTTAACGTCCAAGAATAATAATAATAATAATAATAATAATAATATCAAAAAGGGATTCCATCATTTCCCATACTTAATTTATTGTTTTATTTTTTATTTTAATTGAACTATTTAAATGGGATGCCAAGGGTGGGTACGATACCCAAGGACTTGTATAATTTATGCATGATATAATGTTATTTTCTGAAAATATTATGTAATGCAACATAGGACCATCTGACATCATACGGATTAAGATCGGTAAGGTTACTGTGTATGGCACCTGATGAGTTTGAGACAAATCATATGTGCTCGACTCTACCGTACTCTGATCAGTAATTCTGTTTAAGCCGTTGGATTATAGAATAAGAAAGAAGATAGATACTGTAGTTCTCTCAAATTATTACGTACTAACCAATCAATGGTTTGGATTGGGCCGTTTATTGGTTTTACAAGAAAAGTGGTGCAGAGGATCTGATGGAGTGTGAGCATATGGCATTTCTGAAATAAAAAATGAAGTGGGTGGAAAGAAGGTGGAAACGGTTTCATTTTTTCAAAAAGCTGCTGACTTACAAACAAAAACAAATAAAGGAAAAGGTCCTCTCATCAATACTCCAATATCGTTATTTAATATTTCTTAAAACAATTTAATCATGCTTACAGATTCATCAATGTCTTTAACCTTTAAAAGATTGTTTTTTATAAATTTAAGGGAGAGAGAATGAATAGATTTGAAAGTAAAATTTGTATTTTTTTTTATAAAATTTGAAGGTGAAAATAAGTGAATTTAGAAATGAAAAATTATAAAAGTTTGTAAATGATATGATAAAAATAAAAGACACATAAATGTCCTATTAAAATCACTTCTTAAATTTATATATTTTTATTTTATTCCTTCTAATTATATATTCTTAAATTTATATATGTTCTTAAAAATATTTACAATTTTTCTTTTCCTTCTAATTATTTCAATTGTATTTAAGAAAAATGTGTATTACTTTTTCTATTTGAAGAATTAGAAAATTTGCATCTAATTTCTACTATTTTTTAAGATTTTTATCTCCCGAAATATTTACAAAATTTGAGTGTTTTTAAAAAATTATTTATTTGTATTTTCTCTCTATCATCACCTCAATTCTTTGAAATAATTACTGCAATATTATATATAATTTCCTATTTTATTAGCATAATATATATATATATATATATATATATATATATATATATATATATATATATAATAAGCTTACGGAAACCACCAAATCCAACTGGTTTGATAAAAAAAACGTACCAGTTTTTGTTAGACTTGATGGACCAATAGACTAGGTCGCATCTAAAATACGCAACTACAAAAAATTGAATTAACCCATTTTTAACTTTTTAATTCGTTAAAGTGGATTAAATCGAACTGACATATTTAACAAAACTCTGATAAATTCTAAAACTATAATTATTTAAATTGAACTTTATTTTTCTTTCTAATATTAACTGTATTTTTAAATCATAATGTTATCATAAATATATTCATTTGGGAACCTTAATAAAAGTATTTATATTAAGTAAACTAAAAAGAAATTGATTTAGTGCAATTCTGAAATGCTCATTATATGCTTACTTCAAGAATGTATCAAAATTAAAACTCAATGTACAAAACAAAAATAATGTGACTTTCTAATTGTTTATTCTGTCCCATATAAAATCATATATATTAGTGATGTTAAATTCTTATTAAGAGACATTGGATCAAATATAAACATTCATAAAGTAATCACATTTATAGCAAAATACTTGAATTCAGAAGTTTATATGTTGTTTACATAAAATATCAATGTGATCGAAACATTACATCATATTAGACTTTAGAGTTTTTAAAATTAGATGTGAACCGAGCTTGAGATTTGTCGATGAATGAGATAAGTAACACATAAACATCACTCATATTCGTTGCGAATCTAAGGGCAGATTTATATTGTTTTAGTTTTTAGTATTTATGAACTAAATAATTTTTTAGATCACGAGAGACGTGTTTTGCATTACATAAATTATTTTGATACAAGAATCATGGAGCACTAAATACTCGATACATTATAAAATGTAACGCATCATTCTCTTTTTATTTTTTATTTATTTTTAAAAGTATATATTCGACCGAGGGGAGTGGTATTACATCAGATTGTAGAATTATTATTTTTAATATGGACTACACTTAAGGTTAGCTGTCTATTTCAATAAATATCTAGTCATATCAACTTATCGTGCATTTGGATATATGTTGTAAATCTAAAATAATCACGTAAAATTAGCGAGTAATGTGGAAGTTAAACATTAAAAGAATTGGTGGTTCAATATTTGAATTAACAGGCGATCCATTATTGAATTAATTAATGAATACTTGTTGTAGACGAATGGATGGTGATCACATAATGAGGTCGTTGGTTATTTTGTATAAGGTGTTATGGTTTAGCAATAATTAGTTGTAAATTAAAATACTAAAATATAATAGAATTAGATGGAATGAAAATAATGCAAAAAGTAATGAGCGTGATGGTGAAAGGTCGTTGAGAAGGAGTGCCAGACGCCCTAAAATGGTTGGAGAAATGGGGCTCTTGATTTAGAAGGAAATGGTGAGAAGAAAAAACAGAAGAATATTTAATTTCTCTCTATCCGGTTTCTCTACTGTATATGATTTGCCTGCCACACATTTTGCATTAGGTTTCCCATTCGTTACGCACACCTTTAAACTAATGTTTCCCTTCTCATTTGTGGATCGTGTATACCTAGTTTCCACCATTTTCAAACCGATACTTGCTATTTTAATCATCATCTACCCATTATTTTCCAAAACCTAGTGCCTAAAGGATATCTCATAAACAAAAGAGAATAACTGTTGCAAATCCGGAGAATACAAATTTCAAACCTTATCATTTGTCTTAACAGCAAAGGCAGGTAAAAAAAAAAACAAAGAAAAGATATTATCGAGACCATGTTCCAAGTTTGGGTCCCATTTCGTGAATCGTCAGCTTCCACCACCCAACGTACACGCCAAGGACAACATCCACAACAGGGATACTACCACATCCTTTTCACACACTTCCTCTCTTGTATATTATTTTATGCATAACTTACATTATTTCAGTTTAATCTTCACTTACTCACCTTCCACTACCATTATTCTAGCTAAACTCATAACCAATAACATACCAACAAGCCAAACAAACAAATTCCCTCCCAATGTTTCGTCTATAAATCCAAACCAAATCCCACTAATTACATTTTTTAAATCATCATCCACTGAACTACACGTATATCACTTTCCTTCAACGCTTCCTCTTGTCTTTCTATACTCTCTTAATTACATTCCAGTTTTCATCTAACATTCTTTACGTATCTTTTCATACTATGTATATCGAGTATAGGGTCGAGTATCTTCACAAAATATGTCTATACACTTTGTTTCAAGTTAGCTTAGGTAATGATGTGTGTCTTAGTCAAAATCCTTATTCATACTCAAACCATTCAGAATATCTATTACAGACACTTTGGAGTTCAAGTCAGTAATTAATCCGATCGGAAGTCAGAATAAAGTCTTAAATTCATAATAAATACAATTATCTATCTTTTTACTTTGACCACTATTTATAATTTTTTGAATGAGTCTAAAATTAGTGAAACCCTAATCACAGCTCAATCCTAACTCATTGTTATCAAGTAACACTTACCATTAATCCTGACGTGGGATGGTGTGTTAGGGATGTTTGTTGTTCAGGAACGTCTATTCAGTTTGGTCGGTCGTCTTTGTCAATGGTCATAATCCAGTCAGTCCATTCGATACAATACATTACAACTTATTTTTTAAATCTGTCACATTAATTGTTATTTCCACGTTTTTCTTATTTAAATTTCCTTGTTTTTTATATATCTTTTTTAATATATACGTACAAAGCTTCTTTTATGATCATTATTATCTATAACGGACCAGTTCTATTCCACGTATATAACGTGTATTAGCAGTCATAATGGTTCATAATTATTCTCATTCTCGGTAAATATAAAATCCACTGTCCTAGCGTTGAAGTTAAAATTCTACCACCACAAAAAGAAATGAAATTTCATCTCACAATCGATTGACTTGGAAACAGTTGGAATGTCTTCCCTTCGCACTTTTGTGATAGTAATAAACACTCTGGATGGATGACATGGATTAAATTTTTTATTTTTTATTATAAAAATAACAATTATCCTCACAGTATAAAGTTAATATTTTATAAGTTAAAAACTTTATTTTACCTCTAAATG